AAGGGATCCCAGTTTATAAGTTCAGGCTTTAGGGATTTCTGCACCATGTGGGGGATCAAGCTGAGCTTCTCCACCCCCCCGCAACGCCCAATCCAACTGCCAGGCCGAGTCATCGAATAAGACCATCATGCAGACCTTAAAGAAGCGATTGTAGAAAGCGAAGGGTGCATGGGCAGATGAGCTACCCGAAGTCCTTTGGTCCCACCAAACCACGGCTCACTCGTCAACAGGCGAGACCCCTTTTTCCCCCACATATGGTTCTGAAGCAGTCATCTTAGTTGAAGTATCAGTTCCGTCCACCAGGCTCCAATGGGTAGACGAGGAAACAAACGACCAGAACCTTTGCTAGGCCCTGGACATTATCGATGAGTTACGTGAGCGGGCGAGCATCCACAATGTAGTCTATCAGCAACAGGCTGCCCGACACTACCGCCGCAATGTGAGGATTCGAACTTTCAAAATGGGTGATTGGGTCCTCTACAAGGTCTTCCAAAACAGAAATGAGATCAACTCTGGCAAATTCGGCCCTACCTGGGAAGGTCCCTACAAGATCACAAAAGAAACGGGAAAGGGCGCTTACAGACTCCAGACCCCCGAGGGCAAAGACATCAGCAACAGCTGGAATGTCGTCCACCTCAAACGCTACTATTTTTAGGTGAAGTAGTTCTATTTGTTTGTTTTTCTGACTATTTAATATTTATTTAAAAAGAGTGAGTGGGCCTATCCACCTCTTCATAGACAATCGGCCTCATGGCCCAAATTTAATGAAGTATTTTTCAGAAAATTTACATCTTCAGATCGACCCTCCTCGATCAAATGTTTGTTACACCTTCGGATCGACCCTGCTCGATTCACGAAAACTTTACATCTTTGGATCGACCCTGCTCGATCCACGGATATTTTACACCTTCAGATCGACCCTACTCGATCCATAAATATTTTACACTTTCGGATCGACCCTGCTCGATCCATGCATATTTTACGATCTTGCTCGATCCATGTATATTTTACGATCTTGCTCGATTCACGGATATTTTACACCTTCGGATCGACCCTGCTCGATTCACTGATATTTTATAACTTCAGATCGACCCTACTCGATCCTCAGATATTTTACACCTTCGGATTGACCTTGCTCAATCCACGGATATTTTACACCTTCGGATCGACCTAGCTCGATTTACGAGTATTTTACACCTTCGGATCGACCCTGCTCAATCCACTGATAAATTACACCTTCGGATCGACCCTGCTCGATCCACGTATTTACACCTTCGGATCGACCCTGCTAGATCCACGGAATTACACCTTCGGATCGACCTTGCTCGATCCATGAGTTTATACCTTCGGATCGACTCTGCCCGATCCATGGATTTACACCTTCGGACCAGCTCTTGAAGCTACACACTCAGTCGGCCAGACCGAGCGAAGGGTTGTTACACCCTCAAATCGACGTCATTGACCTAACCCAACGAGAAGTCTACATGACTCAGCCACTGAGCCGCACCAAAGTCACAACACAAGCATAAGAGTTCAACCCCTAGTACATGGAAGCAGTCAACAACTCACTCAACCATCAAGATAGAATAAAAAACATAACAGCAAGTACTAACATATAAACGGCCTCAAACGGCTCAGTTTGGGATACAATAAAAGGCACACTGATGCGTGTTTACTACAACATGCAATGTATAGCAAGTGCACTAGTCGTATAAAGTAATAAATTGATGAGTAGGATATCGTTCCCACGAGGATTGTTGGCCAAGCACTAAGTTTCCTAATGTTACCTAGTTGAAGCAATTGAAAACTTTGGTTTGGTGGGAGCAAATTTTAATTAAAAAGACAATGAAATTTAGACTAAGAATTAAACTTAATTAAGACAGCAATATGAAAACACGGAATATCAATTCAAGCAAAACGGGTAGGGTTTTGACTTCATTTGAATTTTATGGGTTAAACCTAAAAATTACACTAAATTCACATTCATATGCAATGGTTGTAAATCGAACTCGCTAATGTGTTTAACATACTCTCTCGGGCTATGTTTCCTATTCATCCCTATTAACCTTCCGCACCCAATAATTTGAAGATCAATAATTCCAAACTCATTAAGCAAAAGAGTCCTAATATGATTTCATTAATTCTTGAATCTATCTCTAGCATCCAATACTATAATGGTGTTTACCCAAGAAGCTTAACATGAATTATTTCTCAATCTCATCATGTTCATCATATAAAGCATTAAAAATTCAGAGTAACACACAACCCATGCAGATTCATATGAAAATAAAATAATCAAATACTTAACCCATTAAAATCCAAACTACAATCAAAACCCTAACCCTTAAAAGGTTAGTTCATAGCTAAATTAATACTACAAAAACGAAAAATAGAAATAAACAAGTTAAACATAATGAAACCGAGATGAAAGATAAGAAATCTCCCCAAAAGATAAATCTTCTAGTCAAAATCTGAATCTTCTCCCTTAAACAATCCGAAAAACTCCAAGTTTTACTCTAAGGAAAGTGTAAAAACGGCTAACCCTAAAAAGCTCCAGCCCCTGGGCAAAAAGACTAAGTTTTTCTTTTATACTTCGTCCAAATAACCCAGCCAAACACGCACAGCACGAAACTGTGCGTTTAACAAAACTGGAATAAGTGACTGTCGCCGCGGCGAAGAATTCTTCTTCGCCGCGGCGAAGAATGAAAAAGAAAAGCTTGTCTCTGGCTTACTTCGCCGCGGCGAAGACATTTCCTTCGCTAGGGCGAAGCTTCCTCCTGAGTTCTGAAATTACAGAACTGCCACTCCGCTTGCTTCTTCGTTTGATTCTTCGATTCTTGGTGCTCTTCCTTGGAAACAAGCTTCATCGTGCTTTATCCTACTCCGGAACTCTCCTATCTTCTGAGATCCGCCAATTTCTGAGTCAAAAATATCCAATTTTGTTCTTATTTGCTCAAAATGACCATTTTAACCTGAAATATGAAAAGTAACGAATTAAGGAACAATTCAGGTCAAAATGCACTAGAAAGTACCTAAAATCCGACAAAAAGGTATAATGAAAAGTATATAATTCACAGATTATCAACTACCCCCAAACTAGAGATATGCTCGTCCCCGAGCATACAGTACAAAACTGACAAAAACACAAACAACAAACAGAAACGAAAACACAAAACAACACAACAATACTAAAAAAAAAAACAAAAACAAAAACCAACAAGACTTAACTCTACAAAGGATTACCTAGAAATTGCATACGTCTCAAAAGTTGTTGAAAATTTATTATCAGGAAATATTCAACACTCCAAGAAGTTATAAGTTACATCGACTGTCTTCCTCATTTGGTTCACCAAGTAGGTGATCCCCACTTCAATCCATACTCCAACTTCCCGGATTATTTTATGCAAAAATTGTAAAGTTTATCAAATGGTGACAGACTCCATAAGCTTAAATATCAAACTGCTCTCCACTAATGAGGATTAGACAAAGGTAAGAATCAAAAGGTCTTTGCAAGCTTGTAACGTTAGGCTGGGGTAGTAGGTTCCAATAAAAAGGAGATAGGAATAACAAAGTAAAAGAACTCGGTTGTCCTAAAGCAAAACTAAATCACATCAAAACCCATACCTTCTCAACCACCAATCGACATGTCCACTAATTCACATCCCTCAAACGCGTACCTTTCTTAATTCAAGATACCATAAATGCGGGTGAGACTTGTTTAAGGCGTACGTGGCGTTGTTATACCCAAGGTCGCCAAATACTGCTAGGCAGTTTTTAAGGCGGTTACTGGTTTCCAGCCAATATACCCTTAAACGAGGCTGAATTGGTTTTTTTTTTTTTTTTTAACTGAATTGAAAATGAGGTGACTACCTCTTTTGTTTTTATTATCTTCTCTCAAACCCCAAACTATTCTTTTGGCCTCTTCAACATTTTTCTTCTTTCAACCTCCAAACTATTCTTTTGCTCATTCGTACACTCTTCCCGTTCTTTGTTTTGCACTAGGACCGAATTCTCCTAAGGGTACGATACAGTGTTTAGGGTAAAAGGATTTGACAAATTTGTTGTTTTCCAAGAAAAACAGCAATAAAATTCATACGGCTCAAAAGGGTGACTAGGGAAAATTTCATTCATGGGTTGGCTAGAAAGGCTCAAACGTTCCGAAAAATTGCCTAAATCATCTCCTCAACAATGTCTAATCCTAGAATTTCGCCTCAAGCACTTCTCAACTAGGTTCTAGAGTCCACCAACATTATCAAACTTCACCTAACCACATAAAATGAATCTAAGCATGCCGAAAAAAAATGAAAATGGTGGCAACAAACCTCAATCACAATCCAATCAATAAACAAAAACTTGAAGCAATGCTTAACATTTCTCAACAATAAAAATTCAACAGCCTTATTCTCATCATTGATTTATACAATTCATCATCAGCAAAAACGAAACAAACAAAGTTAACAAAGAAAACACAAATTTTGTATTTTTTTTTTTTTCTTTTCAAGTTTAAGATGTACGTGGCGTTGTTAAACCCGAGGTTGCCAAATACTGCTAGGCAGTTTTTAAGGCGGTTACTGGTTTCCAGCCAATATACCCTTAAACCCGATTTTAATTCTATTCCCTACCCCCAAACTAAATATAACATTGTCCCCAATGTTCCATTATGCACAACTCAGGAATAGAAAATAATAAAACAATAAAGGTACGAGGATTCTCCCTGGTTAATCCATGAACTGTCGCTCCACAATGAACACCTGGTGTCGGACTTTTCATCATCCAGAATCTGTCAAAATAATCAAACTGTGGTGTCCTTTATGTTAGCATAATTCACAGCTAATCTTGAAAAACTTACAACCTAATCTCGTCCTTTTAACAACTACAAATTAAAACAAAAACTAAAGCTAACAAAACAAACAAAGTTCAAAACCAAAATAAACTGAGTTTAATGTTTCAACTGAACACAATTAACAAAAACAAAAATAACACAAAACAGGTGCTCTGGTTCAGTCTGCTTCTTCATCTGCTTCTTCTTCGGAGCCCTCATCTTCCTCGTCCTTCTCGGAGTCCAACCACTCATCCGAGTTCCAGTCAACCCATTGGTATGCTGAAGTGTCAACATTCAGCTCCTTGAAGCTGTTTGTCAGCAATTCATGCATCCTCTCAGTCCGCTCCATCATCCAATCCTGGCGTCTCTTCATGTATTTCATCAGGCCCATCATTTCCTGCATCATCTCTTTTTGTGTACCCGTGGAGCCGGATGATGTGTCCAGGCTCGTTCTCTGCCTTTTCGCCCCTGCTCTTGGTTGGGCAGCTTCCGTTCGGTCTAGGTGTTTCTTGTAATAATCTGAATCTAAAGTTGGAACAGCATGAATACGCTGCTCGTCATCCTGAACCTCGATTCCAGCTTTTAGGAATAAGGCTGTGATGAGATGCGGGAAACAGTAACTTTCGCGCCCCGGGTTTGCTGCAAGCTTAATGCTGTTATAAATTACGTCCCCCACATCAATATTCTTCCTTGTGGCAATTGAATATAGAAGCAATGCCTTCTCGCGAGTCACGGTACTGTAGTGCGATTCCGGCATGAGTCTTGCACAGATATAGTATTGCCACAGCCGAGCCATCGGTGTCAACTGTGTGCCCTTAAGAGTCTTCTTTTGTTTCTTGGACACTGCCCACCCTGCTCCCGGTTTTGCAATCACTGGAAGGATTATATCGTCATCAAACCCTGATCTCTTGAACTGCACGTAGTCATCAATGAGGATTTCCAGCAAATGAAAGAAATCACTGATTTCTTTCGCCGTAAAAGGCACACCTCCCCTTTTACAAAAACCGTCTGTTCCTTACACTCTGGGAGATTGGCATAAAACTCCCTTACCAGCGGCTCAACAGTCAACTGATCAGGAGCTCGCAGAAACATATCCCACTGCCTCTCTCTACTCCAATCAAGAGCCTGAGTAGCGGTTAAGCCGCACTCTGGGATAATCCCTTTGTCCCTTCTCTGAATGGCCGCCTCATACCTTTTCCGGGCCTCATCGTTCACAAACCGGTTATCGACACTCTATCCCTTACTCTTACTCTTACTCTTTCCCTTATACGGTTGCTTAACCTTTGGAGCCATTTTTCCAACTCAGTTCTAATCCAAAAATTCAATCCCAAAAATTCAGTCTTAATTCTACACAATCACAACTCAACTTGCAAAAACAACCAAACTACAATTTTTCAATTCAACACAAACACTCCAAAAACTCAACACCCACATTCCAAACAATCAGTTAATTCACAAACTTCACTTCTTCAATCAAAATCACAACTCAAAATCACCCAAAAATTTTCAAGTCAATCTCAACAGAATTCTCAGATCTATGATTAGAAACTTAAAATTTTCCTAAATAAAGCTTTGGGTTTTCGAGATCTTACCAATATGAAGGAGTTTGCACCACCAATTGAACTGGAAACGACCTAAATAAGAAAGCCCCAATTTTTCGATCCAAAACTTTTTGTGAAATTTTCATGAAATTTGTTGTTGAAAAGGGTTGATTTGGTGTTTAGGAATGTTGTAGAGTAAGAGTTTTGGTTGGAAACACAATTTGGAAGCAAAAGATGGAAGTTTGAAAAATTTTCTCTCAACTCAAAATGCAAGGCGGCGTGAAAATGAGAAGAGTAAAGTGAGTATTTATAGAAACGGCTCGTCGCTGCGGCGAAGAAGAATCTTCGCCGCGGCGAAGTTCATCGTTCATGAACACTGAAAATTCCCAGGTTTCGCCGCGGCGAAGACAAATTCTTCGCCTGGGCGAAAGCTTCTCGAGGATACAAGGCTTTCTTCGCCGCGACGAAATGCCTTAGCCAAAATTTCACAAATCTTTTTTCACTTTCTTCGCCGAGGCAAAAATGTCCAGGAGCTTACCTGTTTTTTCTTCATGTCTCTTCGCCGCGGCGAAGAATTCTTCTTCGCCCTGGCAAAGTTTGGAAATTTTTTATACCTTCTTTTGGCTCAAGACTTCACCTGAAACACCCAAAAACTATTATAAACATTCATAACAACAAAAACAAAACAAAACAAAAAAAAAAAAAAAATGAAATTAACAAATTCAACAACCAAAATTGACAAACAAAAAGTTAAAAACACTTGGGTTGCCTCCCAAGAAGCGCTTGTTTACAGTCGAAAGCTCGACTTTCTCAATTCTCAAGTCGGGAATTCAAGCCGGATTGGAATGAAGTTGCAACTCATCACCCCCTCAATGTATGGCTTCAACCTCTGTCCATTAACCGTGAAAGTGCACTTTTCTTCATGTGTGACTTCCACTGCTCCGGATGCATGAATCTTCGTAATAGTGAATGGTCCGGACCATCTAGACTTAAGTTTTCCAGGGAAAAACCTAAGTCTAGATTTGAATATCAATACCTTCTGTCCAACTTCAAAAGCCTTGACTCGGATGTGCTTGTCGTGCCACCTTTTTGTCTTCTCTTTATAATTCCGGGCATTTTCATATGCTTCGAGACGAAACTCATCAAGTTCGTTCAAAGTTAGCATTCTCTTCTCTCCCGCGGCTTTCAAGTCCATGTTCAACTGCTTGACGGCCCAGTATGCCTTATGTTCAAGTTCTACCGGCAAGTGGCGCGCCTTCCCATAAACCAATCTGAATGGAGACATACCAATCGGGGTTTTGAAGGCAGTTTGATAAGCCCATAAAGCATCGTCTAACTTCCGTGACCAATCCTTCCTCGAGGCATTAACTGTTTTTTCCAAAATCCCCTTTAGTTCTCTATTCGACAGTTCTACTTGCCCGCTCGTCTGTGGATGGTAGGGTGTTGCAACTCTATGTGTCACTCCATACTTGCTCAGCAGTGCATCCATTTGCTTATTGCAAAAATGAGACCCTCCATCACTAATGATTGCTCGTGGTACCCCAAACCTTGAGAAAATATTCTTCCTCACAAAATTAATCACCACCCTAGCATCATTAGTTGGCAATGCAACTGCCTCGACCCACTTCGACACATAATCCACCGCTACTAGGATATACGTGTTCCCAAAAGAACTTGGAAAGGGACCCATGAAATCAATCCCCCACACATCAAAAATGTCAACCACCAGGATGTTGTTCAACGGCATCTCATCTCTTTTTGAAATATTACCCATCCGTTGACATTGGTCACACTCTTGAATCATCCGAAAGAAATCCTTAAAGAGGGTTGGCCAATAAAACCCAGATTGCAACACTTTCGCTGCTGTTCTAGCTCCCCCAAAATGGCCCCCTACTTCCTTCTCATGACAATGCCTTAAAATGCTCTCCATTTCTTCCTCCGGGACACATCTCCGTATCATTTGATCAGTACAGTGTCTGTATAGGAACGTCTCTTCCAAAAAGTAATACTTTAAATCTGAGAAAAATTTTCTCTTCTGTTGGTACGTCATACCACTTGGGAGCACCCTTGATGACAAATAATTTGCAAAATCCGCATACCATGGTGCTTCTTCCACTCTCATCAGCTTCTCATCCGTAAATGTTTCTTTAATTGGCATTTCCTCCTCATTTCCCTTGATTGGTTTCTCTATTCTCGACAAGTGATCAGCTACCACATTTTTCGACCCCTTCTTGTCTCGAATTTCCAACTCAAACTCTTGAAGTAGTAAAATCCATCTTATCAACCGAGGTTTTGCTTCTTGCTTTGCCAGTAGGTGTTTGAGTGCTGAATGGTCCGTGTATACAATCACCTTTGCACGTAACAAGTAAGAACAAAATTTGTCAAAAGCAAAAACCACAGCCAATAACTCTTTTTCAGTGGTGGTGTAATTCAATTGTGCATCAACGAGTGTCTTGCTAGCATACTGAATTACATGCAACACTTTATTTTTTCTCTTTCCTAATACTACCCCTAAAGCAAAGTCACTAGCATCACACATTAATTCGAAGGGCAGTCCCCAATCGGGAACTGCAATAATAGGTGCTGATACTAATAAATTTTTCAGAGTTAAGAAAGCATGCATGCAGTCATCATTAAAGTCAAAAGCAACATCTTTATTCAATAAATTGCAAAGGGGTTTGGAGATTTTAGAAAAATCCTTGATGAAGCATCTGTAAAACCCCGCATGCCCTAAGAAACTTCTGACTGCTTTAACATTTGATGGTGGTGGCAACTTCTCAATCACTTCTGTCTTTGCCCGATCAACTTCAATCCCATCATTGGAAAGCCTATGCCCGAGCACTATTCCCTCTTGCACCATGAAGTGACATTTCTCCCAATTCAGCACCAAGTTTGTTTCCTTACATCGCTGCAAAACAAGAGATAGATTTGTTAGACAGTTATCAAATGATGAGCCAAAAACTGAGAAGTCATCCATGAAGACTTCTATAAACCGTTCCACCATGTCTTCAAAGATTGACATCATGCATCTTTGTAATGTTGCCGGTGCATTGCATAACCCAAATGGCATCCTTCGGTAAGCAAAGGTGCCATAGGGGCAAGTGAAGGTCGTTTTCTCTTTATCCTCATGAGCGATGGCAATTTGGTTATATCCTGAATACCCATCTAGGAAACAATAATAGGCATGTCCTGCCAACCTCTCCAACATCTGATCGATGTAGGGCAATGGAAAATGATCCTTCCTTGTCGCCTCATTCAGTTTACTGTAATCAATGCAAACTCTCCAACCCGTTACCGTCCTTGTTGGGATCAACTCATTACTATCATTCTTCACTACCGTAATCCCTCATTTCTTCTGAACCACTTGTACCGGGCTCACCCATGGGCTATCAGAAATAGGATAGATAATCCCCGCATCTAAGAGTTTCACCACCTCTTTTCTCACTACTTCCTTCATCGAAGGATTTAATCTCCGTTGTGGTTGCACCCTATGCTTAAAATCATCCTCCATGAGTATCTTATGCATGCAAAATGATGGCGAAATACCTCTTGTGTCCGAAATTGTCCATCCAATTGCTAGTCTATGTTCCCTCAACACCTTAATCAACCTTTCTTCCTCTAATGCACTCAAATCTGCACTAATAATCATCGGAAAAGTTTATGAGTCTCCAAGATAGACATATTTGAGGTGAGGCGGTAAAGGTTTCAGTTCAAGCCTTGGAGCTTCTTCATTATTTTCCTTTGCCCTCTCTTTGTCAAAATCAAACTCCTCAAATTCTATATCTTGACTCTCCTCTATCGGTTGAAGTGCTTCTAACATCCTAGTACAATCATTACTTTCCGATTCTTCCACCTCTACTGTTTTTGATTTGGCTATACAAGCTTCTAGAGGTAACTCAAGGGTGTTATCTTCCATGGATTCTATAACAAGTTCATCCACCACATCGACACTAAAGCATGAATCCAATTCAGACGGAAACTTCATTGCATCAAAAACATTGAAAATTACTATTTCATCTTGAACCCTCAACAGCAACTTTCCTTCCTGCACATCAATCAGTGCTCTCCCCGTGGCCAAGAATGGTCGGCCCAATATGAGAGGAATTTCCTTATCCTCTTCCATGTCCAACACCACAAAGTCCGCTGGAAAAATTATCTTCCCCACCTTCACCAAAACATCTTCCACTATCCCCCTCGGGTGCTTTATTGACCTATCCGCTAGTTACAACGACATGGTCGTTGGCTTCACTTCACCAATTCCCAATCTTCTGAAAACAGAAAAGGGCATCAAATTTATACTAGCTCCTAGATCACATAGAACACGATCAAAAGTAATATCCCCTATAACACAAGGAATAGTAAAACTCCCTGGATCTTTGAGCTTCGAGGGTAATTTTTTCTGGATGATGGCATTGTACTCTTCCGTGAGCATCACCGTTTCCTCATCTTCTAACTTCCTTTTATTTGAAAGGATTTCCTTCAGGAACTTCGCATAACTCGGCATTTGCTGTAACGCATCTGCAAAAGGAATGTTAATATGCAATTTTTTAAAAATTGCAATGAACTTTGAAAATTGCTTATCCTGATTCTTTTTCTTCAATCTCTGAGGAAAAGGCACTGTGGTTTGTGATGTGCCAATTCTAGTAGTATCTTGGGGAATGGCAATTTCTCCTTCTTCTTTTGCTTTTTCTCTTCCCCCAAATCACCTGGTTTCTCTTCACAAATGTTTTCTTCATCAATTCTCTCTTCAGAATCTTCCTTTCCGGTTGCTCCACCTCTTTGGTAGTGTGGCCTACCTCTTCCAAAACTGTCCCACTTCTCAAAATTATGGCATTTGCTTGTCACGTGGGTTGGTTACGGTATGCTTGGTAGAGAACCCTGCGGTCTATCATTCAGCTTCTCCGCCAATTAGCCCATCTGTACCTCAAGATTCCGAATGGACGCTTCTTGGTTTCTAAAGTTTGTCCTCGTCTCATTCATGAAACCTGTAGTCTCTTGCATGAATTTACCAAACATGTCCTCCAACTTCGTCACTCTCGATCTCCCGGTTGATTTGTCACCACCTGGTTGGTTATTTGGAACTTTTCTCTGGCTCCATTGGTTACTTTGTTGTTCTGATTTCCCCAAGCTAGATTTGGATGATATCTCCAACCCGAATATATGTGTTGGAATATGGGTTGTTCGGTTGTCTCTGATTTCCGGCCAAGTAATTCACTTGCTTCGTTGATGAAGATGTCGACAAATGTGTTCCCACTTGACACTCGCTGCTCACATGGTTTCCTGCACAAAATTCACATGTAGTTGAGGTGCTTGTATAGAATTTACCTGCATAGTTCCCAACTGTTTTGAAGTGCAGTGAGTTGGGCTGAGATGGCTGTGAAAGCATCAACTTCATGAAGACCCGAAGGTTTCCTTGTTGTAACTCTCTCATTCGGTCTTTGATAGTTGTTGCTTGCCAAAACCTAGCAACTCATACGCTTCCTCTGGTGTCTTATTCTGCAAGGCCCCTCCTGAAGCTGCATCCACCATGGTTTGCACATTACCCATCAAACCATTATAAAATGTTTGGACTTGAAGCCAAACTGGCAAACCATAATGTGGGCACTTCCTCATTAATTCCTGTATCTCTCCCAAGCCTCGTACAACGACTCGGCATCATCTTGTAGAAATGATGTGATATCATTTCTCAATTTCGCTGACTTCGCTAGAGGAAGAACTTGGTCAGAATTTCTGTGCTAGATCATTCCATGTTGTTATTGTTCCCGTGGTAATGCCATTAACCACCCCTTTGCTTTATCTCCCAATGAGAATGGGAACAACCGTAGCTATATAGCATCATCCGACACTCCATTTGACTTGAAGGTGTCGCAAATTTTCAGGAAATTTGCAATGTGCTGATTCGGATCCTCCTTCAAATCACCGTTGAATCTAACCGACTGCTGGATCATCTGGATGATTGCCGGCTTGATCTCGAAGTTGTTTGCTTGTACTGTAGGTCTAGTAATACTTGACCCACTTCCTTCACTGTGGGAACTGAAAATTCCCTCAGTGTTCTGTTCTTGTTCAGCATTTCAACACAACTTCTTCCGTTCTGCATAGGGTTATTTCTTTCTCTCTCTCTGTTACATCTTCTTACAGTCCTCTCAAGCTCAAGGTCAACAGGAACAACTGTTGACGTCTTGCTCTTCGCTAAACTGAACAACACAAGTGAAAGAAAAGTGAGATCACAACTCTAATGAAAATTAAAAACAAAAATTAAAACTTCAACTAGCTAAACTTAAGGAAAAACTCAATGTTAACATAAAACAGTCCCCGGCAACGGCGCCAAAAACTTGATGCGTGTTTACTACAACATGCAATGTATAGCAAGTGCACTAGTCGCATAAAGTAATAAATTGATGATAGGATATCGTTCCCATGAGGATTGTTGGCCAAGCACTAAGTTTCCTAACGTTACCTAGTTGAAGCAATCGAAAACTTTGGATTGTGGGAGTAAATTTTAATTAAAAGACAATGAAATTTAGACTAAGAATTAAATTATTAAGACAGCAATATGAAAACACGGAATATCAATTCAAGCAAAACGGGTAGGGTTTTGACTTCATTTAATTTTATGGGTTAAACCTAAAAATTACACTAAATTCACATCATATGCAATGGTTGTAAATCGAACTCGCTAATGTGTTAAACATACTCTCGGGCTATGTTTCCTATCATCCCTATTAACCTTCCGCACCCATAATTTGAAGATCAATAATTCCAAACTCATTAAGCAAAAGAGTCCTAATATGATTTCATAAATTCTTGAATCTATCTCTAGCATCCATACTATAATGGCTTTACCCAAGAAGCTTAACATGAATTATTTCTCAATCTCATCAGTTCATCATATAAAGCATTAAAAATTCAGAGTAACACACACACCATGCACATTCATATGAAAATAAAACAATCAAATACTTAACCCATTAAAATCCAACTACAATCAAAACCCTAACCCTTAAAAGGTTAGTTCATAGCTAACTAATACTACAAAAACGAAAAATAGAAATAAACAAGTTAAACATAATGAAACTGAGATGAAAGATAAGAAATCTCCCCAAAATAAATCTTCTAGTCAAAATCTGAATCTTCTCCCTTAAACAATCCGAAAAACTCCAAGTTTTACTCTAAGGAAAGTGTAAAAACGGCTAACCCTAAAAAGCTCCAGCCCCTGGGCAAAAAGACTAAGTTTTTCTTTTATCTTCGTCCAAATAACCCAGCCAAACACCACAGCACGAAACTATGCGTTTAACAAAACTGGAATAAGTGACTGTCGCCACGGCGAAGAAGAATTCTTCGCCGCAGCGAAGAATGAAAAAGAAAAGCTGTCTCTGGCTTACTTTGCCGCGGCGAAGACATTTCCTTCGCCGGGGCGAAGCTTCCTCCAGTTCCTGAAATTACAGAACTGCCACTCCGCTTGCTTCTTCGTTTGATTCTTCGATTCTTGGTGCTCGTCCTTGGAAACAAGCTTCATCGTGCTTTATCCTGCTCCGGAACTCTCCTATCTTCTAAGATCCGCTAATTTCTGAGTCAAAAATATCCAATTTTGTTCTTATTTGCTCAAAATGACCATTTTAACCTGAAATACGAAAAGTAACGAATTAAGGAACAATTCAGGTCAAAATGCACTAGAAAGTACCTGAAATCCGACAAAAAGGTATAATGAAAAGTATATAATTCACAGATTATCACACACGTGACCAAGAAAAAGGGCTTCGCAGGCCCCAAAATACATAAGCAGAAGGAAAACAAAGCTAAGCATCCTCAATGCGAGTCATCTCCTCCATCTCTGACTCAGTCACCTTGTCTCCACCGCCAGAACCCATCCCAGCAGCCTTGACACCCACATCTTCAGTGATCAACGGCCACGGCTGGCTAGCAAGATCGGGCATCTGCTCGTCAACTTGCTACTCCGTATGCTCAACTCCCTCCTTTAGCAACTCGTGCATGAGTTAGATGTCCTCGTTCGGATCCTAGTGAGCAGTCTTCCCGATCTTGTACTCAAGCATAAGTTCTCCTAGGGCCCTGATGATGGCATCG